CTGTACGTGGAGCTGTAACTTCCTCCACAAAAGCAGCAACTTCCTCCACAAAAGCAGCGAAGAAGAATGGTTGTCATGGCTGCACTTCTGTTTATTCTCCGCGGTGGGGGCCGAGGGATCCGGGCAGAGTTTTTCGCCGGTCAACGTGTGTTAAAGTTTAAATCTTCCGGACAAAATTATAAAAGTGCCGGTCAAAGGTCTTCTTTGTTATTTATTGAGCTTTAAAACAAATGAATAACGACGATATAATGATATATAATAATAAAATACACAGAGCCTGTCTCTTTTTCCTCTCTTCTGACAGCGTCAGTGTCCGTCTCATGCAGCAGCTGATCCAGTAATGATGACTCGACAGTAAAAATAAACATATTTATAACTAGTTTAGGTAGTTTGAGAGGTAATTAAAATAGCTAAGGGTGATGATCTGACTTGAAGTGTGTGTTTGTGACGGAGACACGCAGCTCCTCCCGCTGTGATGCAGCGGGAGGAGCTGCGTGTCTCCGTCCTGTCAGATTAGACTTCACTCGCGTTTATGTCCATATCGAGATAAAGATAAATAATCTGAATTCAGTGTGCAGTGTACTTTTGCGGGGGTGAGCAGCAGAGGTGGGGAGAGGCGGGGCTATTGCGTCGTCATTATCAGAAACGGATGACCGTATAGGCTACCACACGGCCCCGTTGGACCCCCCAGAGCGCTCCGTTCCCAGATCTATCCACCTTTGGACCCGTTGTCGTTTGCAGGGTCCGTTTCTACCGTTACGTTACGGCGTCGTCTAGCTTAAAGGGCTATACGCAAGAGAAATATGCGGATTCAACCCGTTTTCGTTCCCGTGGAGCCTAGGCCTTAGATGTCAATCCACTTACACTGTAACTACTCTGGCCTTGAAAGAAGGTTACGCATCGAACTGATGTCCACTAATCCCTATAAAACAAAGTTCAAGCATACATTAAAGGACACCTATCATCCTATATTTAAATGATATATTGTAGGGCCATACCTATATAAGGTATATTTATACGTTTCTGTTTTCAAAATACCAAACAGATCATGCATGTTAGCCATGCCTTATTTCGCTCTATTTGCTGTTCTCCAGCCCTGTACCTACCCAGGTAGGGTAGGTAAGTTTGAGAAACGGGCTTGAGATACACTTTTTGTTATATTCCATGGAATGCTCTTAACATCCCGATAGCAATGAATATCTTAAGTGCTTTGACAAAAAATCCATAAAAAAATGTAATCTGTGGAAGCCGTAATACTGTAAAAAGTACGACCAATCATTTTAGCCGGCCCGGCTAAAATAACTGGATGGCCTACCTGCCTGTCAGCCTTCCATCGGGGCACAAACTTATCTCGTGCCCTCATTGGTCATGTGCGCGTTCGTGTGTGTTGGAGGAGGGGCTCTATAAGGAAGTGGCAGATTTTCTCCGGTTGTGTATTTTCAAATTCTAGCGATCTCGAGCCGGTTTCTCAAACTTACCTACCCTACCTTTAAGTTTGTAATTACCAGTGTTGTGAGTTCACCTTTAAGTTTGTAATTACCAGTGTTGTGAGTTCAATATTTTAATTAATTATAGTAAGGGAACATCTTGGGAGTTAGTGTAGTGAGTTTCAGAGCAGTGTAATAATTATTTGACCTAAAACTAAATGTTTTTATGAATGTCCTCTGAGGACATGGGGATTTGCTAACTTTTTATTTCCCCCATTTTACACGACACAAATGGAGGCCACTATGGGCCAAAACTAACACGTAGGTTTCTGTAGGGTTCATGGCAGACGGATGCAGTTGCTCTCAGGAGGATATATAATAAAGGTGTGTTAACTGCTGAGCCTATTTACTGTGCATACGACACACCTGGCACAGTTTATTCATTTCACACAGGTTACGCAATCCATAGCGCGTGCATGTCGTCGTCCAATCCTTTTGTCAATCCTTCTTAACCGCCTTCGCTTCCGAATCAGCATTGCTATTGCATTTGAGTTTGTTGATCTGTATTTGTGTTTGCTTAAATAACTCAGACGAAGCTCATGTCTGAGGTCGGAAGGTAAACAGACGCCTCATACAGCAAGTGGGCGCGGCAGTATACGCGGGAGGTTTTTCTTCTTCTTCTTCTCTCGGTTTTTTGGCGGATTGCAACTTTAAGGTGCATACCGCCACCTACTGTACTCACCGTGAAGTTGTTTGCGGCCTGCCAGTAAACCCAAAGCAGAAGAAGAAGTGACGTCAGCGGCTTCATTTGCCTAATCCACCCCCAGGAACACATTTCGGTGTGAACGCGATCTGCTTTAGTTCATCAGAACTAAAAGAGTTGAACTCATGAACTATTGTGGGAAAAGTACTTGGTGTGAACGCGCCTATGGACAAGATACAGCTTGAGAGGCATAAACACATAGGCAGCAGTTTGATTACACATGTGAAAATGATCTGGGCAACAGGCGGGAAAACACAAAGACAGGAAGTAAAAATGGACATGGCACAGGGGGAGAAAAATGTACGAAATAAAACAGGAAACACAAAAACTAAAATCACGACACATACAGTGGAGGAAAGTATTTGATCCCCTGCAGATTTTGTAAGTTTGCCCACCTACAAATAAATAAACAATCTATAATTTTGATGGTAGGTTTATATAAACAGTGAGAGTAAGAATATAAAAAAGAAAACTCAGAAATTGACATTATATAAAAGATACACATTTATTTGCATTTAACTGTGGGAAATAAGTATTTGATCCCCTTGCAACCAACAAGAATTCTGGTTCCCTCAGACCGGTTGAATAAGTCATCTTCCTTTATCAACTTGATACCTGTATAAAAGACACCTGTCCACAGAATCAATCAATCAGATGCCAACCTCTCCACCATGGGTAAGACTAAAGAGCTGTCTAAGGACCTCAGGGACAAGATTGTAGACCTGCACAAGGCTGGGATCGGCTACAAGACCATCAGAAAGCAGCTTGTTGAGGAGGAGACAACTGTTGGTGCCATTATTTGAAAATGGAAGAAAAGACAAAAATGAGCACATGAGAGGCCCGTCTGAAATGTGCCAATGAACATCTGAATGATTCAGAGAAGGCTTGGAAGAAGGTGATGTGGTCACATGAGACCAACATCGAGATCTTTGGCATCAACTCGACACGCCGTGTTTGGTGGAAGAGAGATGCTGACTATAACCCCCAGAACACCATCGGCCAAATTCTTGGCCGATGGCCTCCTTCCCTCAGTCAGGACACTGAACATGGGTCATGGATGGGTCTTCCAGCAGGACAATGACCCTGAACATACGGCCAAGGCAACACAGGAGTTTTCTTTTTGATATTCTTACTCTCACTGTTTATATAAACCTACCATTAAAATGACAGACTGTTAATTTCTTTGTAAGTGGGTAAACTTACAAAATCTGCAGGGGATCAAATACTTATTTCCTCCACTGTATGGCAACATTCAGATATAGAGTAAAGAAAATGGATGCATCTTTAATGTGTCAGCAAGGCCGATTGTTAGGGCTGCTATTGCACATTGAACAAAACTAAAGGGAGACCTTCACCATTTAAGTGTCCTGTATTTCTGACAAGAAGGGAGTAATGTGAAGGTGTCATTTGATATTGTGGGTGCTAGGCACGTGATGGTTCTGGATTCATATCTGTCTGTGGGGTGGTAGATTATTTTGGAGGCAGAATGTGTGATATGTTTTTGTTGGAGGTATTTTACATAGTGGAAAAGCAGCGGGAACCGTAGAACAGGTGGTGCTCTGAGTTCAGAGTCTTTGGATGTCACTGATGTGCTGACAGTTCAAGATATTTGAAGTTGCTCATCTGTTCAACTGTCTTGCCATGAATTGAGGCGGTGTTCACTCCAGTTTGGGGTTCTGTTAATTCTAAGGTAACACTTTTTTTTTTTGTTGAGAAGTTGCATTCTTTCCATCATGGAAGTAGAACAACCAAACACAGAACAACCAAAGATCATGGTTTGAGTAGTACGTAAGCTAACAGTACATGCACGTGCAATGGTGTAGTGGCTCCTTCATGTGCCCAGTGTTAAAAGGTCACAAAGGCAGAGGACTGGCCACATTAGCTAAATAAATGTGGTTTTAAAAGCAAATATAAGTCTATATATTCAATATTTGTACTCTTTTGTGGCAAACCCATTTTGTTTTGGAAACAAACAAAGGGCATGACCTCGGTGGCCTCCATCGTAGCTGGGACCCTGAATGTGTTCTGTACTCTGATCATCCCGTCCTGCAGAACATGGAACCAGCTCTCTCCCAAACTCTGGAGGTTACATGGTCAGTTTGCTCAGCCGTGTTACACTTGCTCTGTAGCTGTGCTCTCCTGTGTGACAGTGTTGCCTAATCGCTTGGCTTTTGTATTTTTAATATGAAAGACTCAAGTTCGATTTGTGGCGTAAACTTAAGATTGCATGACCTGTTTTAATACGTTATCCTTTTTATATATACACAAATATTGTTTAGATTCTTAGGGTTCCTTCCAAAGCCAAAACAAAGATGTCCATCAACAAGTTACAGCCTTTGACTTAATTTAGAGTTCATCACAAAATCTTTTACTATTCCTTGAAGAATATTGAGGTCAGGCAATGGTACTGGATTTTCTGTGGGATACTCAAGACGGCCTTCCACTCCCTGATTGTAGCTGTTAAGATTAGATGCATCTTTCTAACCCTGATGCACTTGTGCGCACACACACGCACACACACGCACACACACAACACACACACACACACAACACACACACACACACATCACACACACACACACACACACACACACACACACACACACACACAACACACACACACACACACACACACACACACACACACACACACACACACACACACACACACACACACACCACACACCACACACACACACACACCCACACACACACACACACACACACACACACACACACACACACACACACACACACACACACACACACCACACACACACCCACACACACACACACACACACCAGTTATATAGTTATATCAACAATTTATTTTTATATTATGAGATGACAATTTCAATATTACCCATTGTAGAAAACTGTGCTTATATAACTTTTTTTTATAGCTGACTTTCACTTTGGTTACTGTGTTTGGCATTAAACCAATATTATTGCTAAGATAAATACATATTGAAAACCATTATTCATGTGCATAATAAACCATGTACTGATTGAGGAACATCTACATCTATCTTACATGTATATAGTGTATATACAGCAGGAACTGACCACAACAACAACAGCAACAAAGAAACTTCAATGACAAAATGCTACAATTTTCACATTATTTTACACTCATCTTTCACACGTTCCTTGCGTTTGGATGTGATGTTAATATTTACTAATTCCTAGTGTTTTACTATGGTGCTATGTTCCTTACCCTTATACGGCCCACATACTTGTCCAATACCGTATGAGGTTACAGCTCAGACTTGACAATTTTATAAAAACCCATCAATAACACTCAAAAAACCCAATGCAGTGTTAGACCTCACAACTCACCATATGTTGTTCCTAAAGTCAGGCCATTTTTGGCCTGGCTCGTCTACCAGAAACATAATTACCTGCAAACAGCCACATTCTGTCATTATTACTTATTACATTTGTGTTCTGTTAAAACACTGCTATTTAATGAAAGAAAACATACACTTACGTCCTGTAGTGGCTGCTAGCGGACATGGCTGTGCTCTTGTTTTGTTTTTGGTACAAGTCTATGGCGCATGCGCTTACCAAACTCCTGCAGGGCCAAGCGAGGTCTTTTTGCATTTGTCTACAGAAACCCTGGTCCAAATAACTTGACATGGGGCAATGTACTACCTTGGGTCCTCAGCAGCACACACCTTATGGGTAGAGTCCCTCTGGTCAGTGTTAGGGGCTCAAATGACCTGGTAAACTACAGATGCAAAACATTTTTCAAGAGACCTTCAAAATGGTATCACTTATATCGCTGCTTTTAGGCCTTCTTCGAATAAAAAAGCTAGGTAGTATGTATGAAATATTTGAACGTGAATTGGCACAATTCTCACCCAATACGATGTGGGTTAATGTGTGAAAAAAGAAAATGGATCCAACCAATTCTTAACTTAAAACCTATAAAAATACAGTTCATTTTAATTTCAACCCAAGGCACAGTGTGTAAACTCGTGTCACATGATCCATTAAAGTCAAAACATCGTCAACACATTTCCTTTTTTCATTCCTCCTACCTTACTTTGGCATATGTGATACATAACACAGCCTTTTACTCTTGGTGCTTGTTATGGCTATTCAAACATGGCATGCCTCAAGAAATGCATGAGTTGCATCAAGCATTTTTCATCCTTTATGTGCCATATTAGGCGAAGTTTCCCATTGCTGTCCAGACTGTTTGGTCCGCTAACTACAAAAAAATCAATCTCTGCCTCTTTATTCCACGCCTAAGACCTTGTTTAGTTCAGCCATAGAGCTGTTGTCCAGTTACATGAGAGGGTTGTTGGCCAAACGCTGTGCAAAGCTAGATCCTCAGTATCCAAAGCACCAGTAACCCTTTCACCACAAGGTGATTAAGTGTTGAAAATATTGTGTAATGCACCTTGTTCATGGGACAGCCATCAGGATTGATCTTAAATCATGCGACGACTCATTTCAGCAGCCTGGTGAAGAGTTCACTTGCGAAGACCCCGATCACGAGGATGACGATCATAAGCAGCAATGTGAGTCCACGGCGTAAAACCAGCTGCTGGACTGACAGAATGTTTCCCACTGTGGTGGTGGTGGATTTGTTCTGGCCTGGTACACTCGGATCCTGACGTGTTCCGCCCTCCTCAGAACTCTCACAATGGAAAGTAGCAGTGCAGACCTCGTACTGGTTCTGATCCGAGTCTGAGGGTTTAAGGGAGAAACTTCAGTTTTACCAAAATAATGTCACACAAAGAAGTATCATTAAATGTGTCAGAACTTACCTGGATTTTCTATCCTCACCACCTCCTTTTCTTCTTTGATCTGGACTCCTGATCTCACAAGAGCCTGATGAAAAGAGTTCACAGCGTGTTTTAAAGGCATAGTGTGCAGGCTTGTGGAGAAACGGATTACGTTTTCAGGATACAAACAACGTAACTGTATTTTTTTACATAAAAAAAAGACATAAGATTACATTTCTAAAAATGATTATTAGCAGGATAACAATGTTATTAAAAAAATAAAAAGAGCATATCGTTTTTTTTTGCAAAAGGATAAGATGTTATCTCTTCTCTGTAAACTGTACTGTTCTGTAGTCTAATACTTTAAGTGTGAATCTATACGCCTACTGCCTGAATCTGCTTTATGGTTTTCACTTTCTTTGCTTCATTTGTTCTTTTTTTTATTCAGTAGGTTTGTGTTCATAAAATAGTGTGTGTGAGCTTAACTGTGTGATTTAATGCTATATTTTAATAATATAGTGTAGGACCATACCTATATAAGGCATATTTATACTTTTTTTTTTTCAAAATACCAAACAGATCATGCATTTTAGCCATGCCTCATTTCGCTCAATTTGCACTTTTTTAGCCCTGTTTTTGCAAGGGCTGACGTCAGGACAGTGTTCAAATCTGGATCAGTTTTTATCAGATCCGTTGCAGCCCCTTTTTTAGAGATTTGGGTATGGAGGAAAATAGAGAGGGTTGTGTTTTCTGACACTTGGTGAGTTCCCTGGAACACCGGGGACACATATTCATGTAGAAAAGACGTACAAAAGTGCATTTTGCATGATAGGTCCCCTTTAACTAAAACGGAGCATTTTTCTGTCAGCTGAGATTTTATTTGGGGACTGGTCTACCGTTGCCATAATCTGTTACACTAGGGTTGTGCTGACTGCCATCTAGTGTAGGTATACACTCACTATGGATAAGCACCTAATTAATCCCCACTTTTAATTGGTTAAGCGGTGTAGGTACGCACCTCGTCAACAGCCTTCTTCCAATCAAGTTTGCTCAAATATGTGACAAAGAATATCGCCTGAATTAGCACACAAATGGTGAGTCCTGTCCACAGCCCTTTGACACAGAGGAGAGAATAGTTTAAATGGTCTTCCTGAACATTAACTGACAAGCAGCAGATAAGACTGCGTACAGCATTCATCTCAGAGTTGAATACAAATGGTGTAATCTTACCTTCAATGCCCATATTTGCTGCAAACATTAGGGACGCACCGATAGGGAAACCAATGAAGTAGTATCCCACCAGGTTACACAGAGCTCCAATCGTCTGTTTTCCTGCTCCTCTGAGAACGCCTCCAGCCACACCCTGTCCGTATCAACCAGGGAGTTGCTCAGATCACATTCAGAAAATGTCTGTGTTAGGTCTGAAATCATGAATTGCATGTTTTTCTTACCGCTACAGCATCAGCAAGATGCATGACGGAAAATATGATCATGACGTCAGCAACCCTTTGTAAAATCTCTCTAAAAAACAGAAAAACACAGATTGTTGATGGATGCTAGTAACGTTTTGGGCGAGAGGGCAGGCCCAGAGTTGACAGGAGAGAATATTGTTCCAGACTTTACTCACTGGTCGGTTGTGAAGATGTATCCGACGACATTTCTGATACTGCCGGCGATGACTGAAACAAAACATGCAATGAAGACTGCCATGGGAAAGAAACAAAGAAAGTGGTTATAAATTGAACAGATTATTTTTTTTGTTCACAGCTATGCTCTTTGTCTCAAATTAAATGTTACTGGATTGATATCGTTATATACTCCTACAGCAGTACCCTAATACCCCTAATGCAGTGGTTCTCAAACTTTTTCTGTCTAGCCCCCCTTTGGAGGAAAAAACTAAGTCGGGCCCCACCAAAACAAATAGTCACGTAATGGGCCAAGTTAACATTTATTAAAATACATCAATATGAACATGAGCATTCCTTTGAGCCTGTTTTGCACTGCACATTTGTTCAAGACGGGATTGCAGGCTTGATCTTCCATCCTCATCATGTACATTACACACCTGTGTCCTACAGCGCCCTCATAGGTTTCTAAGTGTAACTACATGACACATGGCTCTTTTTTTTTTTTGTCATAACAATTTTGCCTCCTGGTCTCTCGCGCCCCCTGTCATGCCTCTGTGCCCCCCACCTTGAGAAACACTCCCTAATGTAAGGAATCTGAAAGGTGGCACAACAACACTTCCTAAAATATGGAGATAAAACTTTAGTGATGATTATTTTGGGAGAAGAAATAAGTCTAAAATTGCAAAAATCGCACCCATAAATTAATAATTCAATTAATTAATTATCTGAAGTGTATATATTAAATACATTTAATAATATGTTTGTTTATGTTTTAGATTCTTACTTTGTCCCTTGACACATGTTATACTTGAAAATAATGCTTTAAAAAAACAAAGATTTGAGAGATAAATAGCATGGACGTACATGAACAGATGATGGGGATCTTGCAGGACAGCTTGGCCTGCTCTATGTTTCCTGCTCCAAGAGCGTTCCCAACACGAACACTGGCAGCAGCAGCAAATCCTAATGGGAACTGTTGGAAAAAAATAGAGGCTGTAACACTAGGAATATGTGGGCGGGACTAAGGACAATGACTGACTACAAAGGAGCAGCGGGGGGTGCTGCGGGAGTGTCTGCGTGCGCATCTCTCCCAGATGAGCTGAACAGTTTTTTTGCACGCTTTGAGAGCAGCCAGGCTGTGGAGGTACAGAGGGACCAGGAGCTACACTGCCCTTTTGTTTTAAATAGGGCAGATGTGTGTAAATCCTTTAAAAGGGTTAACCCACACAAGGCTCCTGGACCTGATGGCATCCCTGGCCGTGTTCTCAGGGTGTGTGCAGTTCAGCTGGCAGAGGTGTTCACAGACATCTTCAACAGGTCCCTGCTGCAGTCTGTAGTCCCCACATGCTTCAAACATTCCACTATCGTTCCTGTCCCGAAAAAGACAATCATCACCTGCCCCAACGACTACCGCCCAGTAGCACTCACCTCCATCATAATGAAGTGCTTTGAGCGGTTAGTCAAATCATTCATCACCTCCTCCCTCCCTGAATCTCTGGACCCCCTGCAGTTTGCCTACAGAGCAAACAGGTCCACAGACGACGCCATAGCCCTCACCCTCCACACTGCCCTCTCACACCTGGACCCGAAGAACAGGAACACATATGTGAGAATGCTGTTCATTGACTACAGTTCAGCATTCAATACCATTGTGCCCTCCAAGCTGGCCATCAAGCTCAGAGACCTCGGGCTCAACAGCGCCCTCTGTGACTGGATCCTGAACTTCCTGACGGGCAGACCCCAGGCAGTGCGGGTGGGAAACATCACATCCTCCACCCTGATCCTCAACACCGGTGCCCCTCAAGGCTGCGTGCTCAGCCCTCTCCTCTACTCCCTGTTCACTCACGACTGCGTGGCCACACACAGCTCCAACACCATCGTGAAGTTTGCTGATGACACGACCGTCATCGGCCAGATCACAGACGATGACGAGACGGCGTACAGAGAGGAGGTCGAAAACCTGACATCTTGGTGCCAGGATAACAACCTCCATCTCAACATCAGCAAAACAAAGGAGCTGATTGTGGATTACAGGAAGCAGCAGGGAGAGGGACACGCCCCCATCGCCATCAATGGGACTACGGTGGAGAGAGTCAAAAGCTTCAGGTTCCTTGGGGTCCACATCACTGAGGACCTGACATGGTCTCTTCACACCACCACCATCACCAAGAAAGCTCGACAGCGGCTCTTCTTCCTCCGCAGGTTGAGGAGGTTCAAAATGGATTCCAGGATACTCTGCAACTTCTACAGGTGCACGATAGAGAGTATCCTGACTGGCAGCATGACGGCCTGGTACGGCAGCTGCACCGACCTCGATCGTAAGGCTTTACAGAGGGTGGTGAAAACTGCACAGCACATCACCAGGACGGAGCTGCCATCCATGGAGGACCTTTACTCCCAGCGGCTCAGGAAGAAATCACTACGGATTATCAAAGACCCCCATCACCCCAGCCACAAACTGTTCTTTCTGTTGCCGTCTGGCAGACGTTACCGCAGCATCCTGGCAAGGACAAGAAGATTCGGAGACAGTTTCTTCCCGCGGGCAGTGAGACTGTTAAAAAATTGAACTGTTGAAACAACTTCAAACATTCATCTGCTACTCAGTAGTATGTATCTAATACCTAATATATATATATATCATTCCAATAACTTGTATATAGACTCTATTGCACTATTCCACATCATAACTTTATTTTATTTTATAACTATTATTCTTTTTGTATTGCTCTTGACCTTATTGTTATTATGTTATTATGTTGCATTGTTGGAGAAGCCTGTGACATAAGATTTTCAACTACATAATTACTCTGTAACTATGTCAGATTGACAATAAAGAACCTTGAACCTTGAACCTTGAACAAGTAATCACCAAGGGAGAATTAAAGCTATGTTTTTTTAAGCCAGAGTCGTGGCCTTTTCTTTCATATAATGAAACTACATGGCATTCAAAAGGAAGAGTGCATGTACTCAGCCAAGGAGGACGCCATTAATGTTTACATCTCATCAGTGGCGGTTCTAGAACATTTTACATGGGGTGGCAAAGGGGGGGCAAGAGGTCATGCCAGGGTGGCATGGGAGGGCGGACCGTACGTGGTATTTTATACTGTATAACCTATTTATTGTTAAATCATGCCCTAACACAAGTGTTCTTTTTTTAAATTTTTTCTTTTTATTTATTGTACAGGCTACAGACACAAAACATGGACATTACAATAACAAAATGAGACATTCCTATCTCAGACAAAAAACAAAACAAACAGAAACAAATAAAATACAGTCAGTTGGTCACTTCAACATTTCATAAACAAAACAAAAAAATAGGTTGACAGTCCAATATCATCAAAATAATTTATTATTCCTTTTTATCCCACTCTTCGCTAGAGCTGATTGTTTCCCATTTCATGGCGTGTTGCGCCACCCTTTGATTCTTTGTGGCAATCATCCTTTCCAAAATAAATTGTGTTTTTAATCTACTTTTCACACACCTTAAATTCAGATTTTTCCTTGATTGAGCTTTAAAAATAAGTATTTTTGCCAGAAGAATAATTGTATTCATCAACTGTGTATTGTCCTCATCCAAAAGCCCAAACAAAACACCAAAGGGAGTAAATGCAAAATCAATATAAAGTGTCTTAAGCCAATTTTGAATCTCAGTCCACAGTCTTGCAACGTATGGACAATAAAAAAATAAATGCATCTGGTCTTCCTCTTCCTCCTCACAGAATCTACAAAGTGGTGACGGTTCGATATTAAAAGTGTTGAGTTGTTTGTTTGTAGCGATAATCTTGTAAAAGATCTTCAGTTGGAAGATTCTTGAATAGGAATCAATTGTTGTTTTGTATATGGTTCTAAAAAATTGTTTCCAGGGTATCAGAATATTAAATTTTTCTTCCCAGAAAGAACAGACCGCATGAGGAAAAGCAGTAAGGCCATTGCTCTGTAAACAGTGATTATAAATTATTTTATTTATTTTCATTTTTGATAGCCATTTCTGACTTCTTGTATGAGGTGTGCAGACCTGTTGTCGGTTTCCATCTTTTTTTAATTTACGTTTCCAGTTAGTTGGAATAGCTGAAAGCAGCTGGTTAAAGTGAAGGAAATCACATATCTGACCATACATACAGCAAAAACACTGATATGAAATTAAATTACCTGTGCTATCTAGTAAATCATTCATGAAAAGAATTCCTTTTCTCAGAAGACTTTCCCATAATAGTGGTTTTCCATCTATTAAAACTTCTGAGTTCAACCATATTAATTGATTTTGGATTTCTTCTGGTGTATCTGGGGGGTAATACTGGAAACTCAACCAAGCCTTCAATGCATCTTTAACAAATGGTGAGATTTCTACTAATATTTCTTTGAATAACCATTCACAGTGGTGAGATTTTAATTGGAAAAAGGGAAACAGTTTACAGTAAAAAAATAAGTGCCCTGAAAATAAGTTCTGACTTGTTCTCCAAAGACTATTATGATACATCTTATTAATCCAAGATGCTTTTAAGGATGAATTCATTGCTGCCAAATGTTTTAAGTTTAGTCCACCATTTTCAAGTGTATTATATATGTATTGCCTTTTTATCTTGTCAGGCTTATTATTCCAGATGAACTTAAACATTCGTTGTTCAAAGCTTTTAAAGAAGGACGCCTCTGGGGAGGGAAGTGAAATTAAGAGATAAAACAAACTGTGGAATCACAAGAGCATTAATTAATGTAATCTTTCCCTGTAATGAGAGAGCTTTCCCTTTCCAAGGTTGAATTATTTTCTCAGTTTTCTGCATTTTTCGCTCAAAATTGACCTTAACTAGATCTTTTTGATTTTCTGGAATATGAATTCCCAGAACATCCACTGAACCATTACACCATTTGACTGGAGCGGAGCATTGTAGCTTAAAATCTGTGCCTCTTAATGTTCCTATTCTCATAATACAGCATTTATCAAAGTTAGGCCTTAGCCCAGCTAATTTTGAAAAGTTATTTAAATCAACTATGAGGGCATCTAATGCAGTTTTTTCAGGCTGTAGAAAGAAAGTTGCATCATCTGCATATAATGTTAATTTTGTTTCAATACCATTTGATCTTAAGCCTGTTATACATGAATTGTTTCTAATTCTGATAGCAAGAATTTCAATGCATAATAGAAACAGATATGGAGACAGTGGACACCCTTGACGTACGCCTCTGGACAGGCTGAAGCTTTTTGATAAATATCCATTATTAACTATTTTACTGGTAGGTTGGTTATATAAAACCTTCACCCACTGTATAACGGTTTCCCCAAAATTAAAGAATTGGAGGGATTTCTGAATGAAATCCCATTTTACTGTATCAAAGGCTTTTTCAAAGTCAGCAATAAATAAAAGCCCTGGTTTTCCATCCTCTTCATGATTATCTATCATATCAAGCAGATGGCGAATATTATCTCCAATAAAACGCCCTTTTATAAAACCTGTTTGATCATGTTTTATTATATTCCCAATAACTACTTTGATTCTCCGTGCAATACATTTGGACAGAATGCGGGTATCGCAACAAAGTAGTGTCAGTGGTCTCCAATGCTTCATATAAACAGGATTCTTGTAATGCCCCTCTGGGTCTTGCTTCAGTAACAATGTGATGATGCCTTCTTTCTGTGTATCTGATAATATTCCTTGTGTAAAGGAGTAGTTAAAGGATGCCAATAGAGGTTTTTTAATTTCTGTGTAGAAGGTTTTATAAACTTCAACAGGTATACCGTCAATCCCTGGTGATTTACCAGGAGCGAAGGAATTAATAGCATCCAGTATAAGCCAGAGCATATAAGGTTTTAAAATAATCCACCTCTTCAGCTAATATTTCCTGTGGAGATGTAAGTAGAATACCATTTGGAGTATACAGGCTCATAATGTTTTTTTTGGCAGAATTTCTTTGGTTGAGTCTTAAAAAATGAGCCGTGCACTTTTCCCCATGTGGCACGGGAGCTATCAATTATACCATTCACACGCTCAGAGTATAAATGTTCCAGTTCAAGTTGTTTATTTTTTATCAAATAAGTTGTTTCTATGCATAACGATTGCTTTTCATCCAACGTTTTAGTCAATTCATTTACCTCCTCTATTAGACTCTTCTCCTTTATCAAATATTGTTTTTGTTTCCATGACCCCATCTTAACAGCGTGTCCTCTAAAAACACACTTAAAGGCTTCCCAGACGTTGTGAGGGTCCGATGAATTATTATTAATTTGAAAAAAATCTTTGATTAGTTCTTTAGTTTTTTCAATAAAATCCGTATAATTTAAAAGTGATAGGTTGAATTTCCAATACCCAAGCCCTCTGGGATATTCTGCTGTAATAATTTGCAGTGTTACGATGGCATGGTCAGATCTTAATCGGTCACCAATACTACATTTTAATACTTTGTGAACCAGGGAAAAGGTGACTAGCTTGTTGTCCCCTACGCCATGTATACCTGCTTGAATTTGGATTTTTTTTGTCTCCAAATATCCACTAAATCTAAGGATGCCTTGAGTTGTTGGATTTCATTTAAGGCCTGTGGGTGATTATTAAAAGAATGAGTACCTGTACGATCCTTACTTATGTTTAACACCGTATTGAAATCTCCAACTATAATATTTTGGTTATTTTTTAGAGAGGAGATCACTTTATGGATCTCTTCAAAAAAGTTTGGATTATCATCATTTGGCCCATAGATATTAATGATATTTACGTGCAAGTCATCCACTGTCACCTCTAACATAATCCACCTTCCATCCTCATCAGTTTGTACAGAATGAACTAAGTGTTGAATTTCTTTTTTAAACATAATCATAACACCCCTACTATTAGTAGTGCCATGACTGAAATAAATATCTCCACCCCATTCTGATTTCCATTTCAACTCGTTTTCCAAATTAGAATGCGTTTCCTGCACACAAATAATTTTAATATTGTTTTTATCTTTCAACCAAGTAAAAACTTCATTTCTTTTAGAGACATTAGCCAAGCCGTTACAGTTATAAGTTGCAATCGTAGTACTAGTACATGTCATGTATCATCTAAAATGAGTGATATAACTTCATCAACCTTTTTTAAATACTTGATAAGGACCCAAACTGTAAACCTAAAAAACATATAACACCTACTGACGTACACATACATCACAAAAACAATATAACATGCCTGTATTTCATTTGCCATGGAGTTAATTGGCATTTTTGCGGTCACAACCCCTTTCAATGTACTTTCTACATATATATATCGAAGAAGAAGAAGATGGGCTTAAACAAAGAGAATAATCCAAAAATGAAGCAGAAAACAAAAACAAACATTCCATGCCGTAAAGGGTTTCTTGTCTAATAAGGAAAACATAAATAAATCCTCTAACCAGGCTCATACGGTTATCCTTAATTAACATAAGTAGGCAGACCTGCGAGAAAGACTAACCACAGTTCTGAAACATAATAGCCGTTTCAACCGTGATCTGCATACTGTTTTCACTCACATATGCCAAGGTTCTTCTCTGCCTCCTGTACCAGTTCAGTAATGCTCCGACTGCTCCGTTGTTTATTATCCACTTCCCATCGTTGTCGCTGCCCGGTGTCCCGTTCCATGCTCCGGGTATCTTGGTCACGTGGTGGGGGCACACCAACTACCAGACCCCGTTCTACGAGAGCCTTCCCCGCAGCTTTTGGGTTGCCATATGTCTGTGTGGTCCCATCTTCGCTGAAAACTTTCAATTTTGCCGGGGCCAAGATGTGCGATTTGATATTTTTGGCCTTTAGTTTGTCTCTGATAGGTCTGTACAAGGCTCTTTGTTGTCTTACTTTAAAGGTAAAGTCATGATCAAAGAAGATTTGCATACCACTATAAGTTACTTCCTTCTTTCCCCATGCAGCTTGTAGTATTTGCTTCTTGGTCTCAAAGTTTAGGAAAGCAACAATAATCGGTCTGGCACGATCCTTGACTTCTCTGTACTCCCGGTGCGCTCTGGTGATGTTAAAATATCCCGGTATTTTAAGCACCTCGTTGAATAGTTTCTTCAGAAAAGTTGACATATTCTCTCCTTCACTTTTTTCTGGTATGTTGAATATACGCGCATTGTTTTGCCTGGTCTTATTTTCCAGGTAGTCATTGCGTTCTTCTATCTCTGAGACTTTATTTACCAGATATTTAATTGATTGTTGGTGAAGTATTTCTGTGTCATGCATCTCACCGACACGGCACTCCACCTGATCCACTCTGTCGCTCGTTTTTGTTTGATCTGTGCGTAGTTCTGTTGTCAGTTGCATAATTTTCTTCATGTCCTTATCCGTCTCAGCTCGAAATTCGTTGAAATCCATTCTGAAGTCTTTGATCTCTTTCAATATTGCTTCCTTCATTTCGAGCATCAGATGTTTTATTTCTCCTACTTCCGCCATTGTGGGGACGGGTGACGCAAATTGTTTGTTCGTCCGTTTCTTGCTTGGTAAAGTTGTTTTTGTTTTTCCGCCGTTACACCTGATCGCAAATTCATCCCCTGTTAATGTTTAGTTGTGAGCGCAAACAGAGATATTTGAAGCACCATATCCTTCTTCTTATCCTTCTTGTGGGGATGAGGAGCTACCCAGCTTTTCACGCTGCCGCCATCTTTAAACAAGTGTTCTTAATGCGTTCTTAAAGAGAAACAAGGTGTTCAGACAAACAAACTCAAATATAGTATAAAACAGCAGAAAATACTCATGATACCCTAGAATTCTGTTTACTGTAAGTACAGTAAAAGTACTTAGTTATAATTAAGTACACAAATGACATCACCCATCTCTTAAGAGAGCTAAAGGTGACCTGTGCAGCAACACATTTCAATCAATATTTGTCAATACTAAGAGCCGCTAGATTGTGCTGCTGTAATGGAATATATGCAAGGAGAATAAAAACATACCATGTGGTCCAGCTGGAGTCTTTCTTCCTCCTGATCCCTGCTTCTGTCCCTCTTTCTGACACTTCATCTTTATTCCTCACATACATTTCTTCTTCTTCTTCACCAATGTCTTCATCTCCTCCTCTTCCTCCTGCTCTGAGCCTCCTGGTCTCTTCAGTGTACTCTCTTTTCCTCTTTCTACTCATCCTGATCACTTGATAGGCCTATGTCTTTTTGTTGTTGTTGAATCACTCCAGCTACTCTGTCCTGCAAGAGTCTACTTGTGAAAAGCACTGGTACAAATGGTTGTCTAACTTTACACGTTAGGGCCATGTAGCTAATAAGTAGCATAGCCTATAATAAATATAAAATCAGAAAGTATTTATCAAACGCACACAGGCAGCTGTGTTTAGATCCAGTTTGACGGTAAAGGATGTATCCTGGTTTCATTTATCTGGCCTCATTGCTGTGATGTGTAATATACGTGGATTTAATAGTACCGCATAGTTTAGCAAATAAAGTGATCAATCTCCCAGCTAGCGCTGTCTGCGTAGTATTTTGTAACGTAACGTCCCAAACAGCGACTGTCTGTTAAACGCTATCGATTCAAACGACAGTGTTTTATTAATATTTTGTTTCAAGCTCTCGTCCTTATTAAAAACAAAACCAGTCGAAGGGGAAATGCTCCCAGGGGAAGCTGATCCACCTCCAGGTGCTGGGACAGCTCGGTCTCTCTGCAGCTGTGTGAGCCGCGGTCTGTGTGAACGCCGCTCCGCAGTTTAATGCAGGGCCGTAGCTGCGTTTTTAACGGGCCTAAGATGATATTTAAAATGATTCACTTTTAATGAATGAACTGCTTGTTTCGTTGCTTGAGAAGCTTGTGGACATAGTGTAGGTTTGTTTCTACAAGTACAGTTTTAGGGACACAAAAGTTAGGGGGGCAGCTGGGGGGGCAAGGCTCTACAGTGGGGGGGCAGCTGCCCCCCCTTGCCCCTCCGCAGATCCGCCCCTGCATCTCATGCTGTCAGGAACGTCCATAAGTCATGAAAACTTCTCTCTGCCCAGTGATACAGTAGGCAGGTGTAGTTAGCTAAAAAGAAAATAGTTCCAACATAAAACTATTCAAAACAAAGTTGGTGGATATTTTGAATAACCTGGTCATGACTTCTGGAAAGAGATATTGCTGTTGATTAGTTACATTATATAGAGAAGGAAAACTTTACAGCCGATATCTCTTACACTTTTCATTCACAGCTAAACAATCTAGGTTGATAAATACTACTGGTAAGAGGAAAAATAAGAATTTTAGATTTTAATTTAAAATTGTTATTGATTGTAGTCCATTGTTGCCAGCTGTGAGCTAGGTATAAAGAAGTTTGTAAACACAGTAAAAGAAGATGAACTAACCTAGCTTGACACTTCTTTCACTACTAATTAAAGGGGCCCTATTATGCTCATTTTCAGATTGATATTAGTATTTTATGCCTCTACTGTGACATGTCTCCATGCTTTAATGTTCAGAAAGCTCTTTATTTGTTTTGCTGCAGTACCTCTTTTCTCCCTCTGTCTGAAACAAGAGCGCAGTCTGCTCTCATTGGTTAGCTGGCCGGCTCTGTTGTGATTGGTCAACCGCGTAGAGATGTCCCACCCCTTAGCCTATAACGTACAATGCGCTAGCCAATAGCAGCGCGAGTGTTACTTGCTGTGGAATAAACAAAGGAGTCCAATAAAGGCGTTTCAGGCAGGTGGGAAGTGTGGGAGAGGAACCCATAGAACACACTACAGCAAAGAGAAAACCCCCAAAAAGCATAAAAGGGCCCTTAACTATTATTTAATAAGAGCAATGACCAACACACAAGCAGCAGTTAGCACTGCTGTATGTTAGCACATACTATGTATTAAATGAGAGGAATACCATTCAGAGCAGTTACCATGTAAGCCACCACGGACAGCTCATAGACGATGGACTGGGCTCCCAGCTCAGCCTCACTGATCAACCCGGCCAGGAACCCTCCGATTTCAAACATCCACCACTCCAGACACAGCATGAGCATGCTGGGGATGGCCAGCTTGACGAAAGGACCCCACTCCTGCAGACACTCCATGGTCCAACCTGAGGGTCAAAGGTTGACTGTTACGCTGCTGTTTGTCTTTTAGTCTCTCACTTCATGTTAGAGCCATGTCTTGTTAGCAGTTGCTAAAAAGGATGGATGTATGCTGATGTGAGATTTATGCTCGATGTTTTTCATCTGAGTGAGTTTATTTTTTGAAAATATCAAATACTGCAGATATAAAAGTAATAAAGTGGGCTGAAAGCTTCACAGAGCCAGGTTGAAATGGTACCTTCTGTACTTCTGGCAAATTATTTCTAGTTTTAAACAAATGGCTTCTCACAGTTCCTAACGTATTCAATAACTTAAAAGTAAAGCCTGACTTGAGGCAGCTGAGTCATCACAGTAACTTCTCCTCCAGAAAACATTACTCAGTTATAGAGTGTAACTAATCTTGTCAAACATTAAAATGTAGAAGCCGCACAATGAAAAACCAAGATGTGTGAAAGGGCAGAGACTTGCATGATGAAAGACGATGACATTACTGGACAGAGCAAGAAAGTCCACAACGTAAAATATGTCAATGACAATGAGAAAACTACTGACCTCCCCATGTGGCCTTATGCAGACCCTTCCAGCAGATGTAGACGTATAAGGCCACAGACAGCACATACTGGGAGATAGCATTGGCTGCAGAGGAGCCGCTTCACAGCACAGGAAACATAGAAAGCATTATTATATTCACATTTTTGTTGACAGCTGCTCAAGGATAGGAAACTAGAGTTCATAATACATTTTGTGTTCAAATGGTCATCAGATTAATATAAAAGACATTACTTTTTATATATATATATATATATATATATATATATATATATATATATATCTATTCTTCATAAATGTCTCTGTTTTTTATCCATTACAACAATCCAGTGATAAACACTAGATCGCAGTAAGCACAATATTTGGTAAAGGCAAAATATGTGAAAGATATCTGCATGAAGTATTGTGGTGCTGCAGAAAAGTCCTGCTATTCCACAGATTTAATGGAAAACCCTTGTTTGGTACAGAAAAATATAATTTAATTATATTTTTAAATGTGAATGTGAAAATGTTTTTAAAATGTATTTGAATGTTTTGGTACCTGGTACAATGGCAATAAGGTGATGTTGAAAAACTCACGCAACGCCCAAATCCAGTGGGTAAAGGAAGACGTATTGGGTGATTGCATTGAAGATATTTGCAACCACTCCAGTCACCACCTGAGGCCAAATAATCCCCTGTAAATCAAAGCACCTGGTGTCAGTATCAATTTGAATAACTTGGGTCGACCCATTGACCTTTTTGTAGATTAGCATCTGCACCTGATTTTGAAGATACCTCCCTTGCAGCTGGTACATAAAAGCAGCCTGAAGAAGGAAACGGAACATTTGAATCAGTGTCATTTGGCTGGTAATTGAGAGTCAGAGCAATGCCTGTATATCAGATGTATGTGTTGTGTCATTAGTTTAGAATGCACCACACTCACCGGCAGAGCAGGCATGAAGATCTTCACATAGAGCTGGGCGAGACTTCATGCAGGGAAAAAAAAGAAATATGCAAATGTCATTCATGGGTTGAACCATAGGACTGTACATATCTTAGCTTTATAAAATAAAAGGTTATAAGTAATTCTCTGTTGACAAAGTTGGATCTGGATCTATATCAGTGCATACATCCAATTAAAAACGAGTTCAATCAAATTAATAAAACGGCCAAAACACAACTCTGAATGAAAGCGTTGGTTTCTCCGTATCTCCTGGATGAGTTTAAATCATCTATTTTTCTAGAATTTGCACTAACTATATGTAAAAGGTGACCATGTTGTACTTTGTTGTATCTTTGTTTCTGCTGCCACCAAGTGGCAAACAAAATTTCTCTGATGTCCATTGAGGATCAAATGTAAATCAAAAAGGTTCCATAAAAGTGTGTATTATATTGTTTTCGCTTTCACAGGGTTTAGTTTTTAATCTTTGTTCCTGATTATCACTAGAAAATATTCATTGATTTCAATATTTTTAACCCATTTTAACTCAAACTGTTACACTAGGCAGGGCTGATCAAATATGATTTAAGATTCTGCAACTGTATTGTCTATTTAAATGTTTTCAAACAAGTATTTTAGTGTTTTGTTTGCTGTAAAAGGTAAAGAAAATCAAGCTCTGCCGACCATCCAGAGCAAAGACTTTGTTCCGAACAGTAACATTTGAGACAAAATGAATTAAAGGTTGTTGTTTTTTTCAGATATTGATATGTCAATGATTAACAACAACATTCATTGTGATGCATTGCATCAGAACCAGTTAAACAGTAATAACCCTAGTGCAGGGGTCACCAACCTTTTTTAGGGTGAGAGCTACTTTCAAAAAATAAAACAAGTCGTGAGCTACTTTTACTCCTCTTTTTTTTGTTTTTTGCAGTGTATATATTTAGCACATTTTAACATTATGATATGCTGACCTTTAACCTTTGTGTGCTGTTTGGGTCTGTGGGACCCGCTTTCAGTGTTTACTAAAATAACATGTATGCAATTTAATTATTTTAACCTGCTTTATTTGGTGGTGGACCTCACCTCCTCTTGGGGGGTCCGGGGGCATGCACCCCCGGGATCTGGTGCACTTTGAACACAACATGAATTGATGGATACAGCTCTCAACACTCAGATGAAAGAGAGCTGTATACTTTTCAATAATCCAAACATCTTTAGAATATGATCACAACCAATAACAAATCATTTATTCTTATCTTATGTTACCTAGTTAGCATTCTTTCTTTCTATTTATGCATATTTTATATATTATATATTTGACTAATCACTCCCCTTTTAAACTGTTTTTTTTACTGTCCTATAGTACACATTGGAATGATTTCTTACTTTATCTATATTAAATAGATAAAGGTGTGCTCTCTCTAGCTCTCTCGCTCGCTCTCTCTCTCTCTCTCCCTGCCTCGCTCGCTCGCTCACAGAAGCTGTGTGCTCCTCCGTGGCAATGACGGCTTGCGTTAAAAAAAGAATAATAAACATATTTGTAAAGTGGGGGGACACAAACTGGATTTTGAAAAATTGGGGGGGACATGTCCCCCCTGTCCCCAGTGGAAATTACGCCATGCGTGTGTGTGCGTCAAGTGCAATAAATAAATATGCAAGTAGCAACACACACAGAGTAAAACTCTGCCCCTCATGTGTTGTATAGGCTGGCATGATAGGCTGTTCAATGGGGCTGATGTGTTGTGTAGATTCTGCCAGAAGGAAAATCACGGTCAAACTCCTTATGAAGTGTGCAGCAAGATTAGTTGGACGAGATTTATTGGTGAAGTTGTCCATAAAATAACTATTATATTCGTAAAGTGTACAGCATATATATATATCAATTCATTTGATATAAAACAATATATTTTTGAGTGGGCTGTATCTGTCGAAATCTGCTAGCTACTGTCTGCTGTAAGCACCTACAATAGGTAGGAAACATGAAGGTCCAGTGTTAACATGTAGAAAACAAGTTAACCTAGAGGCCGTTTTATGATAACGTTTTGGTATAATTGGCAATTTTTATTTTCAATATTCAATGAATATGTAATGATGCTTAGGGAGGTTCAAGGTTCAAAGCTTTTATTAGTCATACGTACATAGCTACAGTGTAGTTATGACGATGAAAATCTTAGGTCACAGGCTCCTCCAACAGTGCAACACAATAAAACAGAAAAAACAGAAGAAATAGTGCAAGTAAAAAGAAAAATAGTAAAAAAGTGGAATAGTGCAATAAGAGTCTATATGCAAGTGATTGAATATGATATACCAGGCCGTGATGCAGCCAGTCAGGATACTCTCTATGGTGCACCTGAGGACATGCAAATATGTTTGTCGTCTACTACAAAGACAACAAATGATCTTAAAACTAAATATGTATATATATATATATTTAGTTTTACATTGTGATGCAAAACACCATACAAAACACTGTTTGTGTATTAATTCATTGCTTTAAACTTTCTTTTTTTTCCTTTCATTTAAAATCGGCACCCGATTCAGAGAATCACCCAGCTAATGTTTGCTAGCTAAATAGCTAACTCAACAGCACACTGACAGGGTAATCATAAAACGGCCTCTAGGTTAACTTGGTTTCTACATGTTAACACTGTGGACATTCATTTTCTTCAGCAGACAGTAGCTAGCCGTTTTCGACAGATACAGCCCACTCAAAAATATATTGTTTCATGTCAAATTAATTGATATATATATATTAGCTGTACACTTTACGAATATAATAGTTTTGTATGGACAACTTTATCATTCAATCTCGTCCAACTAATCTTGCTGCTGTCACTCCTCGGCTCTTGGTAGTTCAGGCAATGATCAAACCTGGCAACTCCGGGCTTCCTGGCAGCTGTCAATCGAAGTCCAGTGGCTCCGCCCCAAAGTGTCAGAAACTTTTCACGCGCGCGCAGACAGACTCCGCGAGCGAGTGAGGCTGACACTCCCGCGAGCGAGCAAGAGGGGGTTTAATCTGCGCACCATGGTCATTTTATGCGCGTGTAAAAGCACATTTTTCGCTCGTGAGTAGCTTGTTTTACGCGCTAGAATATTGACCCAATTCTGGCTCCATACCGAGTGTCTGCATTTACACAGTTTATTTCAGACAAATTACAGCACAAATCATTGCACATTTTTAAAGCTATAAATGTCCCAAGTGAGGCTCAAGGGCCATGTCACAACTTTAAAGTGGACCTATCATGCTATATTTAAATGATATATTGTAGGGCCATACCTATATAAGGTATATTTATGCGTTTCTGTTTTCAAAATACCAAACAGATCATGCATTTTAGCCATGCCTCATTTCGCTCTATTTGCTGTTCTCCAGCCCTGTTTTTGCAGGGGGCTGATTCTGTGATCTGCAACTGACCACGCCCCCCTGCAGGAGAGGGGAGCCGCTCTGATCAAGTCAGAAGAGGGGGAGAAAAATAGATCTCCGTCCTCCGTGTTTTATTATAGCCTATTATTATATAGAGTCGTTATTCATTTGTTTTAAAGCTCAATAAATAACAAAGAAGACCTTTGACCGGCACTTTTCTAATTTTGTCCGGAAGATTTCAACTTTAACGGACATCTTGACCGGCGAAAGAAACTGAAACTGAAACTCTGCCGCACGGTCCCCTCGTTCCTTGGAAGAGGCGGAGAGGTGGGTGTGTGTCATCTGCTGGTGGACTAACCGGAGAGAATTACAGTGCTTGCCTCGACGGGGAGGGATTGCATCGAATTAAAGCAGCGGGAGCAAACGCTTGCCTCGGGGAGGGAGAAAAAAAGCCACAGCGGAGAATAAACAGAAGGGTAACCATGGTAACCATTCGCTGCTTTTGTGGCAGACTACAGCGCCACTTACAGGCCTGGCATATGTACTACAGCGTCTCCAGCACTTTCGAGCGGCAATGGCCGGCCGTGGCCCAACCCCACATTCCCCTGATAGGTGGAGAGTTGGCCCAATAGCCGTAGCGCCACCGTCCTGACAGTGTTCAAATCTGGATCAGTTTTTATCAGATCCGTTGCAGCCCCTTTTTTAGAGATTTGGGTATGGAGGAAAATAGAGAGGGTTGTGTTTTCTGACACTTGGTGAGTTCCCTGGAACACCGGGGACACATATTCATGTATAAAAGACGTACAAAAGTGCATTTTGCATGATAGGTCCCCTTTAATGTAAAGGGGCTACGTTTTTTGCATTCATTCCCTTTGTCAGTCAATATAAGGTCACATGTCCATGACAAAATGAAATGCTGTAGGTGTTTGTTGTTTAGAGGAGAGGTTAGGATTTAAAGGCCGCTTAGAGTTTGTTAGGTCATATCTAGACAATGAATTGAGGGCTTAGCACATTTATGATACCACAGCCTGATACACACTGCAGGGTCCAAACATGATTTAACAAGAAAACCGAGTTAATATAGTCTAGATAAGATCACATGTACTGGATAAGAGTGTCACTGAAGGGAAGAAGCTAAAATATGTGTTTTTAGGGGGTTGAGTAATGTCTAACCTGGCCACCTCTGGGCTCTGTTTGACAGCGAGGAGAAGAGGTTCAGTGTTGATGAGGATGGCCCAGCAGGGGAAACAGGCCAGCAGCAGAATCAGAATCCCCCTCTGGAGAATCACCCCCACACGCTTCAGGTTACCGCTCCCATACGTCTGCGGGACACAGGTAGACGGATATTCAGACAACCACAGTTGGGAAAACACCAAATCACACCAAGGGTATGACTGGTCAAAGAAAACTAACATGATACAAGAGCTCATTGTTTTAAGTTGTTTTAAAAGAGGGGCCCCCAGGACAGCCTGGGAACCCAGCTGTATTGGTTCCGTTTGTTTTGGTTGGACAAATGAAAGGGGGGGGACACTACCTGAGATATGAGGGTATCACAAGTTAACGACAAACCAGTGCCAATGGAAATACCGGTGACGTTAACCACCTGCCAAAACAAAACATGATCATGAAAAGATAAATATTGCCGGTACTGGAAGGTAGGCCAAAAACAGTTTAGAATTCGAGAAGGTCTGCTCACCGCGATTGATAAAGCTACCCCAGCTAGTTCTGTTTTGCCCAGGTGACCACAGAACACCGTGCTGACGAAGCTGATCATAAACACCATCAACTGGGAAATGATCTGTTGAGCAAAACAAACACATAATAGCTTTCCTTATGTTCTCGTTTATACAAATGGCAGAGATACATAAATACAAAAAAACATGAGACACTGCAGAAAATGTAAGCCTTACTGTATAAAATGTAACACAAGGGTAAGGTGGCATGTGTTGTTGTGATGTCGTCTTTAGAAGTGATACCATGATACAAGAGTAGATGTTTTCTTCAAGAAAACATTTTAAAACATTTTCACAGACTTGAAAATCAGATTGGAACTAGAGTGATGCAGGAATAAAAGTCCTAAAATCTGAAAGGAGTCAGCATTTTACCCCTCTGGTTTGATTGACCCAACTCAATGGTTTTTTGAGTGAATTTTTTGTTCGATGCCTAAAATAAAGTGAAGAGTTTTGTTCTAGAACATAAAATATGTCAGTGAATACCCTGCCGGTGAATAATGAAGCTTATAACTGTAGAAAAATCACTAAATGAGACCCAGTGTTTCCCCTACCATTGTCTTGGAGGGGCGCTGCGCCCCGCCAACGGAGCCCCGCGCCCCGCGCCCCCCCTGAAATTCAAGGTGTTTTTTTTATATATATATATATATATATATATATATATATATATATATATATATATATATATATATAGCAACTAATCTATATCTACTAGGGCTGTACCTGAATATCCGAATATCCGAATATTCGTTCGTTGGAGTACTATTCGGGTTTCAATTTCGTTATTTGGATATTCGTTTTTTCCCCGTTTTTCTTTCAAATTGAATTTATTGAAATCTCCAATATCAACGTAAGAGCTTGTGCCTCTTCGGGGGGTGCTAACACTTAACCATAAACGTTATTGTTTACTTTCTCCGTCTTTATATGTAGATATGACTTTTCTCCGTTAATCTCCGTCACGTTGTTTCCAAAGCAACAACAACTTCCTGTCAACTGCGCTAACTCTCCTTCAAAATAAAAGCATGTCCATAAATAGGAAGCCAAGCCAAATTACACTTAAGACATATACAACTGCAACGAAAGTAACAAACACAATGCGATATCCTTTTCAATTTCAAAGAAGACAAATTGGGTTACATTAACAAATAACTATAAAACAACAATACTGTAGAATAACAAAATGAATGCCGTTAACACTAGAACCGCCAATCGGGTCAATTTGACCCAGAGCTGTTTTTTATTGTGTGTAACTTTTTTTCAATAAAATATTAAAGTCTTCCAGTCCGTGACTTTTCCTGAAAGTGTGTTATGTAGCACCCTATGTTGTTAAAAATTGTCAATATGAAGTCAGATTGAAGAAATCGCCCAAAAAATTGCCATTTATACCTATTTCCGCCAAGCGGGTCATATTGACCCCACCCCTTTTCATATAAACATGACGTGTTGCTATAGCAACGCCTTTTGTCTACTGCGGTTCCTTATAGATTGAGAGATAGATTGAGAGAGAGAGAGAGATAGATGGATAGATATATTGATAGATAGTTATAGATAGAGAGAGAGAGAGAGATAGAGACAGTCTGTAGTGAAGGAGTGCGCTCCCGCTCACGGGAGACTGCTCGCGCTGCGCTCCGCAGCAAACAGCTGTGGGGCGAGTTGAAAGTACGTTATGCTGGCCGCGGTGTCTAAATAATGCTTCCGGGCCAGCGGGCCATTTATAATGTCGAGCCCTGAGAGTCCACAGATTATATTGGTATACGTTTCATCCCTGTGCGATCAAAACTCACTGCTCAATAAAAGAACATTTTACCTTGAAAATCAATGCATTCTAATAGCGGGTCAATTTGACCCAGGTGGCGGTTTTAGGTATAAAAAATCTCTGGCGGTTCTAGTGTTAATACACCGAAATACACGTGTTGAAGCGGTTCGCAGCTGATTACTACACCCCCCACCCCCCCCCGCGCGGGCCGAATATTCGCTGCTGATTACTACCGAATATCCGGAGCCCGAAAAATGGTATTCGGGACAGCCCTAATATCTACTGTCACTTTTCACATTGAACATGTGCTCTTTTATTAAATAAACTAAACGCTTTCATTTTAAGTTGTGAGTTTAGTGTTTTTTACCCTAAGAAACACTGATGCATTAATCAATAACAATAATCCACAGCTCCTCTCTCTGCTCCAGAGGATTTTTTAAAAATATATCCCAATGCAAAACGCGCCCAGGCAGCACCCCCCCAAAGCAGTAAACCTAGGGGAAACACTGAGACCACTATACGTCATCACACCGAATATAATACCTTTAGCTTAGCGGTCGGAACCTTAAATCATGTGATTGTGATGTGGTTTGTTTATAGCCTAACATTAGCTTTTTACTATTCAACATCTATAAACAAACGTGTTCATTAAAGATGTGTGGAGGTTTTCCTGCTGAACAAAATGTATTAGTGTCATAACTGTGTGTTAGCCACAGATCTTATTTTCTTACATTTTCCAAAATACAATGGACAAAGCCAAATAGTTTTTAGTTGAGGCAGCCAGTGAGATGCTTACTTCGAAGATGGCCTACAAAAATATGTCATTCATGTACTACCTTAATATTGAAAGTGTTTTCCTATTGTGGACCCGGAAATGTTGAGTACCCCCTTCAATTAGAATATGCAGACAATATCTTAAAAATTGCTTGGACGATTTGGACCATTTTGGAGGTTATTGAGGATGTTTAATCCATTGCTGACCTTTTCAGGATTAAGAAAATAGCAGTTTTAACCAGCAAGTGGCCATATGTGTACTCCCGGAGTGCTGATTTTGATGAATTTTGGGTCGATTTTTAAGTTATAGGGGAATCAAAACTGACATATTGATCCTTCATATGTCTGAAATTGATTCAACATCCTCAATACCCTAGAAAAAAACACTCAAAAATGTTCCAAATCAGCCAAGCCATTTTTTTGCTATTGTCTGTATGCTAATTCATCCTAATTGTGCAAATTGCCCAACATATGCTGGCAGTTTCTATGTGCTATACTATACATTTCTATCATAAAACGCACCAGTTACGGGGATTGTTGTTAGCACCTGGTGCAAGATAGCTGCACTAACAGATATATGAAGCTTTTTCAACAACAAGTTGGAGGAGAGTCCTCTCCTGTCAGACTGAGAGGCTCAGGTAACAGCTCAGGTGAGATAAATGACTCTCTGAGTGTTTAGATAGTTAACTTTAATTTAAGTTATCTCAGTGGGCCTCAAATGGTTTAGTCACCATTTATGTAAACAAATATTTCCAAGGCACACCTTCATAATATTATAGTTATAAACAAATAAGAGAATACATAAAAACAGGTATGAAATCACTCCAATGCACAGGACAGTAAAACTAAAATACAGTTAAAAGGGGAGTAACATATGCATAAAGAAAAAGACAATATTACTATCCTAATACTTTTTTGATTATTGAAAAGTATACAGTTCTGTTTCATATGGGTGTTGAGATATGTACTATGTATCCATACATCTATTCTCTTAATTTTGCCTTCAAAGTGCCTTTTTTTTCTTCCTGTGGCGCAAACAGGCTTCCATACTATTGAGATCAGTGAACTTATAAAAATAGCACTACACCCCTCGTTCACACTGCTGGCAGCCAGACTATTATAGTCTGCTTACACATAGACAAGGCACATACAAATCAGTTAAAGTTAGTGTTTTATTTAAAGGTGAGTGAATTTACCACTGGTCCCGCTAGTTTGACAAGCTGAAGGAGCTCGTGCCGGTAGTCCGGCGGGATGAAGAGTCGCACGCGCTTCAGACAGGACCCCCAGCAGTCACCGGAGCCCGGGACAGAGGCTGCCGCTTCGCCCGGTTTTAAATCCTCCTTCACGCTCTCGCAATATTTAACTGGAGTTGTATTAGAGCCGTCCATTACTGAGGTGTTCTTAACAGACAGACGCGGCTAATTTCCGTCACCGTGTATCCTTTTACAACTACAAGTACTGTAACTGACAATGTCAAACTGCTTGTTACGTTTGTGTATGCCCGGTAGGAGGAAGAGTTACACACGTGCTGCAGGACTGCCCTCCCAGCCAATCTCCTCCTGCAGGAGCTGTAGGCCATCCTCCCATTGGGTAGACCCTATGTTGCATTCAAGTGCACATTATGAGGTTCAGTTTACTTTCACTCGTCATTTGAGTGCAACGTATAACTCCATCATACAGCCTGTCTAGAAAATCGTCTAGAAAGTATCTTTCACGATTAAAATAAAAGGTGTCACTTAGGTGAATCAGACCATTATGTTGATGTGATGCAAACTGACTGATAGTGAACCTACACTGGTAAATTGAATACAAAGTAGGCCTATAGCTCCATTCATACGTGTGTGTGTGTGTGTGTGTGTGTGTGTGTGTGTGTGTGTGTGTGTGTGTGTGTGTGTGTGTGTGTGTGTGTGTGTGTGTGTGTGTGTGTGTGTGTGTGTGTGTGTGTGTGTGTGTGTGTGTGTGTGTGTGTCTCTCCCCGGTGGTGGTACTTAAACTAAAAGTATTTGATTCAATTAAATAAGAAATAGCAAAGTCAAATTCAAGATGTTACTTTGGTAAAGTAGGTTATTATCACTTAAATACTTGGCAATGGCTAAAAGCAGAGATGGGAGTAAGTCCTACATTTGCAAGTCATGAGCAAGTCTCAAGTCTTAACCTACAAGTCTCAAGCAAGTCCCAAGTCACTGTGGTGAGAGTCAAGCAAGTCAAGTCAAGTCATTGCTCAGGTCAAGCAAGTCACAAGTCAAGACTGTCAAGTCATACGAAATTCTGATGAATAACCCCAGTTTCCGCATTTAAATCAGTTAAAATATTGTGGTTATGAAAGGTTTAGTTTTATTTTCAACATAAACAGCAATGGAGAGTGGGGCGCTGAAATGATAACCCTATAAGTATGCTCCCATATAACACTGTCTCTTTGTGTTCCTAACTGTGTCAGTGCACAAAGAAATATTGCATCAAAGCCAATACAACGGAATATTGTACCAGGACGTGTGTGTGTGTGTGTGTGTGTGTGTGTGTGTGTGTGTGTGTGTGTGTGTGTGTGTGTGTGTGTGTGTGTGTGTGTGTGTGTGTGTGTGTGTGTGTGTGTGTGTGTGTGTGTGTGTGTGTGTGTGTGTGCAGACAGTGCGACATTCAGATTAAACACATTTATTTCATTTGGGAACACCCATATGTAGGCTACATATGGAGTTGGCCAGATGTGTGTAAATTACTGTTCATGGTAATTTGAAAACAAATGCCGTTGTCGGACACACACAAACACACCGAACAGAGCTGAGCAGAGCACAAACACACGCACATATCATGGGCCTTAGCGACCGGACATCTCCTTCATAAAACGAGTAATGGGGGATTAATCGGGCAGTTCGATGTGTGTAGAGTTTTGTGTGGTTAAAAAGTAGCAGCCTGCGGTCGCTCTTTAGCTGTTTTAATAACACAGTGAAGGCGTTGCGTAAAAGGCAGAGCTCTTTGCGCGCTGGTGCTGCACTTCTCAGAGGCGGAGTTACACGTCCAGCTGCCTCCTGGTGCTGTAGCGATTTCATGTGAAAGTGAATGAGAGTCCGAGTTCGAAATATATCTAAAATAATGTATGGACTGCCATTTCCCAACATAAACATAACAGTCTGCAATGAAACGGCTGCGCTCCGGTAACTTTCTCGTGCGAACGCGATACAGTATTTTTTTTTTTTTTCATTGCCCTTTAGGGGCTCCGTACAATATAAAAACAAATGCAAATATTTAATTAAAAAAAGTAAAGTCCTTTCGAGTCATCTGTCTCAAGTCAAGTCAAGTCTCAAGTCATGAATACCAAGTCAAAGTCAAGTCAAGTCTTTTATCAATGTTAGTCAAGCAAGTCTCAAGTCCAGAAATATGCGACTCGAGTCTGACTCGAGTCAAGTCATGTCCCCCACCTCTGGCTAAAAGTGTTATTATTATACTAAAATATGTATCACTTAATAATACATGTAAGAGCATTTTAATGTTTAATGTAGTTTGTTATTGTGGTGGCATTATTTGATCATTTGTAAAGGGCGGACCACTTATCAGATTAGTAAAACGGTGTTGAGCTAAATGTTTTTTCTTATGTGACTAAACAAAGTGACAAAAGTATGGAGTAAAAAGTATGTTTGCCTCTAAATTATTGTGGATTAAAAGAATAGAGTTGAATAAAATGTAAACACTTGTATAGTGTACACTAGTATAGTATAGTACTGTAGCCTACTGTATAGTGTACAGTACCTCAGTAAATATACTATAAACTATTGTAGTTACATTATACCACTGTGTGTGCCTTTCATGTACTTTTACAAATGAATAGATACACAACCCTAAATATCCATGGTAAATGTAGGTAAAACAATTAAAGTGTGTTTTATAAAATTGTCAGTTAAGGAAGGCCTATTTGCAGCAAACTAATCAGAGTTGAATAGGTTTGATAACATGTAAAGTTGAAACTAGTTCAGACCCCTCCTAGTTTCATATTTATTAAGTCTCAATTTCAGGCTTACACAATCCACCTTTTCTTTTTTTTCTCTTCAAAGCTGCAGGGAGGAAGTAACAAATCAGAATACAGCACATGTTAAGTAATCATAGTCCAACACACAGTCACTCACTCACACACACTCCTAAGTGTAGAGCTCAGACATGTAAGCATCTTCAAAGTGTTACAGTGGAAACACGTGCGTCCAGATGCACTGAAACATGCAGCTTTCACAGTAGACTGCTTGAGTAATGAGTAACTGAAAAACATTTCACATTTGAATAAAATTCAAGAAAATAAAACTAAGTAAAGCAACCAAGTGCATTTACTCAAGAAATTATATTAAGTAGAAATTCAAGGTACTTTTCTTGAGTATTCCCATTTTATGCAAATTACACTTTTACTCCAATAAATCTCAGAGATAAATATTGTAGTTTTACTTCACTACGTTAGACGTCTTAAATTACTTTTAACAGTATAACTTGTCATCCCCTGCCTGTCCAGTAAAACATGGTTGTGTACCTTTATATGATGAGATTATCCTCCTGCCTTCAAGCTAAATAAACTCTCTAAAAAGCCTCTTGGATCAGCTGGGAAATGCTTTGTCACAAAGCTAATAACAGTGATTTTATACTGAGAAACTCATGAAAGGTTGACTTTTTAGATATGCTTTTCACAGCAATATCGCTACAAACATATGATGATTAAGAGAATATGATGCATTGCTGTAGAGTTGCCCATAAGTATATAAAGGAGTTAAAATGAGAGCAAGACTTTTTACAAGTAAAGGATCTTAATACTTTCTCACCATTTACTGAAAGAACAAAATGAGCATTTTAATTTCAAGAACATGGAGTCTGCTTTGTCACTTGTAAAGACCAAGGAGCTTATCAAACTCACAGACTTCAACTTTAATATGTAACTTGTTTTCCTAATGGCCCATTGATACCCGATTTTGTTAAGACTTGTTACATACATAACTGAGGTTCATACATAACTGAGGTTTATTAGCTAACGTTCCCAGTTCAGTGTATGACTCACATACGTTTGATTAACTTTGCTTACCTTCAGAATGGCATTACAAAACCACTCCTTCTATGGCACGTTCACTAATACTTAAGATCCACTAAGTTCATTTTAGTTTCTTTAGGGCAAAAAGGTGAAGGTTATTGTGCAACAGAAATTTCCAAGAATGGTCCCAATGCAATGAAATGGCTTTCACAGTGACAAATGAGGACAATTCATAGCCTATTGGATCTATAACATTCTCAGCTGAACAATTATGTGTGGTTTTCATTCATCAGAAAACATATTGGAATACTTTTTGAATATACATTTTATATTTGCACGTCACTTTGGATTCATGATGGCTAAATTGTCCCGCAGTAAGAAAAAGAAAAAGAGAGCACTGTAAAAACTGTTGCTTTGGTAAAACTTAAAAAATATGTGTCAAGTGATTCCAAGCAATTTTAAGAGTTTAGTCAACTTTTGCATTTTTTGAGTTGGTGAAATGTACTTTCTTTAGTTTTCCTCTACTCAAGAATGTGTTACTTTGCTAAAACTTAAAAAATATGTGTCAAGCGATTCCAAGCAATTATAGGAGTTGGGTAAACTCACTAATGTGATTTTTTCTGCATATGAAAAGATGAGATGAGCCTACAATTAAAAGCCCAGATATTAAGTGTAACCAATGCAAATAACAATCTGCTAAGAACCACACGAGAATAAAGTAAATTATAAAACACAATTGAGTTGCCGGAACCTATATACGACAAACTCTTCCTGATTTCAATCCAACCCTTTAAATATTTGATAGCATTGAAACATCGCAGATTAAACAAATAAATTAAAAAAGGGAACGTTATGGACATGTTAATACATTTTATTAAAATGTGATTATTTCAAAACAGTTGTCATAAAAGAGTAACAAGTTTGTTTAAAAGCACAACACATTAACATACATGGAGACACATGGTTATTACTTGATGGTTATAACTGCATCTGGCTCTTGGGCAATGTATAACTTCATGCTGTGCATCACGAGCCTGTTGCACTTCGACCTCTGCTGTTCCCTGTAAATACAAATAAAACACTAAATTGAGTACAAATCAGGACACACCATGTGTTTTCCTCAAAACAAAAATCAAATCCGTCTTGAAAACATAACGAGCCAGTTTACATTAGCTGTTAACAGACGGTAACAGAGGTGCTATTCACATGCATTACAAGGGGTTTAAGCCATCAAAAAAAGGCTGGTTTGCAAGAAAATGAACCAAATAGTCATGATATTGATATAGTTCATAAAATGTCCAACTACTTATTTTTAACCCCACCTCATGCTCAGAGATTTATATAAAGTGCAGGGTTCTTACACCTTTTCCAAAGTCAAATTCAAGCACTTTTCAA